TAACCCACTAGCCCATGTTAAAGAAATCAGCCTAAGGAATGATAAGAGACCATGAACATGTTTATTAAAGTCATACTAGTATTCAAAAGATTTAATATATTCAGTCTTTAAAAGCACTTGTTAAGAGCATAACCCTTGAGCTATCACTCAGCACCACAGCTGAACTCTTCCCTGAGTTCAACTCCCTGCACCAAAATAAATAAATAAGCATAAGTCTCATGACATAATTTATAGCTTGCTTCTAAAAGACTAAGAGGATGCAAAAGGAATGGAAATATATAGTCAGATATCAGACCAATGAATTAGGTGGTACCATGGTCCTAAAATTTATGTACATGTAAATATATAATGATTTCTTTTGAAGCTCTACAAGTCTATGATCACACTATTAGTGTGTACATGTGCACACAGACAAATCCCACTACATAAACTACTGTATTAAAGAAGTCAGAAGAGGGGCCAGGGAGGTACTGTATTAAAGAAGTCAGACGAGGGGCCAGCAAAAGGGCCTGATCCCCGGTTCTATCAAAAAAAAAAAAAAAAAAAAAAAAAAAAAGTCAGAAGATGTTAGTGTTCCTCAAAGCAGTTATTCTGCTTAAACAGACTAGTCACACTGCTTCTTCTGTTCAACAGCATATTATAATAAACATAAGGTTAGAAATGGCCTGTACTGGGGGCCGGGGAGATGGCTCAGTGAAATAGGCGCTTCCCTGGCAAGCGCAAGGGCCTGAGTTCAATCCCCGGTTCCGCCAAAAAAAGAAAAGAAATGGTCTGTACCTTATTCAGCAGGGACCCATTATTTCCTATAGTATATTGAGAATTTATTAAAATAGCCATTTCCTTACTGTGATAGTCCAGCCAATATTTAAATTAAAAGAACTTACCTTTAGGAGCTTATATGCCTCTTCGTTTGTCTTTTTTCCTTTCACCCGAATAAAATGCAGGTCTTTTTACAAACAAATTAATACCAAAAGTATTTTATACTTACTGGATTCAAACTTCCTAACAAACTACCTTAAAATAATTTACTATTTAGAATGTACCACTACTAATTTTATCAATCCAGAATTTCTATTCTAAACCAATAAAAATCTGAATCTGCAGCCCTTAATTCTTCCAGATAGGAATCAACGCCTGACATTTACGCAGCTCCCTACATAAACTTTAACTGTGCCAGAGATACTGACATTTCAAAAGTTGAATATATAGAAAAGTGAAATTCATTAGGCAATTATTTAATAAATGAAGACCAGTAAATATTTTAAGACATCTCCCCCACACTGTGCCTTTGAAGACCCTCCTTTAGTGCTTATTCACACATTCAACAAACATAATTTGATGGCTGTATCCTGAACTAGATATACTTTGTACCACTTACAAAGTTCTGCAGAGATACTTCTGCCTGAAAAAATTTGTATAAAGATAACATCTGAGCAACTCTTAAAAGGATAATTTAGTTCACTAACTAGCCTGGAGATACATGATCTGATTCTGGTTTCAAAAATTCAGTTAATTTAATTTAAAGATGGGGCTTGCTTCCTTGCTTGATTTCCTTTTTGTGTTGTAGTGGAGTTTGAAACCACAGTCTTCCCACTAAGCTACATTTCTTAGCCTATTTAATTTTTTTAAATTGAAACAAGGTCTCACTAAACCACTAAAATTTCCAGCCTAGGCTTAAATTTCTTGATGCTCCTGCCTCACCCTCCCAGACTGCTGGGATTATAGGCATGCAACATCATCCCCAACTGGATAAATCTTTAAAGATTATCTAGTCCCAAAGTATTTTACCTTTTTTTTTTTTTTAAATGTATTTGGTACAAGGTCTTGCTATGTAGCTCAGACTCATAGTGACCCTCCTATTTTCAGTCTTCCCAGAGCTGGGATTATAGGCTTGTGCCACCATGCCCAGACTCGGCAGCAGACTCTGTGCATCCAGGGGCAGGGCCAGCAGGACATGTGGTACGGAGGAACCCCAGTCCCTTCACCTGCTTAGTCAGCTGAGCTATACTGCCCAACCCCACCTTT